CTCCGGCTGCGGCGCGGTGTGCGGCGGAAAGCCCGGGTCGGGTGGGAAAGGGAAGCTTTCGGCGAGTTACCGGCCGGGAAACGGAAACGGGGAGTGGGCTGGCGGGGGAGACTAGAAACCTAAACCCTCTTCCTGTGGGAAAGCCTGGCTGCTCTTTGCGTCGGCTCTGCGGGTTTTACTTCGCGTCCTGGGTGACAGTCAGTTGCTTGCTCAAGTGCCGCGTAGGTACAAAGTAACAACTTTAAATTCGCGTTCGCTACACTAGATTCTTTTCCTGTCTGTCCTCACAGGTTGTGGCTCATGCCAGAGGGACATGAGCTGTGGCTGTTAAGGGCCTGGAGCTTCTATTTCGGATGCCTCTCTAATGAAAGCTTGTCCATCAGAATTGGATTGGTTCCTCTGTGCCTTTATTTTGGGAAACTTTACCTGGTCCCTATGGGGGAAGGGAGAGGGATGTGAGAAGCTGAAATTGACCCAGAAAAGAATGACTGAGAGTAGATGTGTTAAGTAGTGGCGCAAAAATGATCCTACCCTGAACGCTCTGGAAGGGTGATCAGTGATTAGCAGTGGAGATTTTAGCTTTTTCAAAGGAAACCAATGGCGGCGGATGTCACACTTGTCACAAGATGGAAGGGGAAACCTGCTGTGGGGGAGCCAACGCTTTGCTTTTAACGCAAGCTATTGAATACCTGAAGGGTTTCCACTGTAGGCTCCCTGCTCACCCTGAAGGGTTTCCACTGTAGGCTCCCTGCTCACCCTCTGTCCTCCCCGGTGTCTCCGCACCCACAGTATTTATCCAGTACCCCGGCCTGCCCTGGCAGCCACAGAGGGCTAACCCTGACGTCCCAGGGGAGAGAAGTTCTTTGGGAGGAAGTGAGAGGTAAACACGAGCGATAGGTACTGCACACGCTTGGAACTGTTTTGCCCTCCGAGAAAACTCAGAAAATGAGGATGGATTTTCAAAATAAAGCCCAGTCCCTAGTGAGAGGAAAAAAAAAAGTCACATTGTGACACAAATTTCCCTTTTTCTAAAAGGCATTCAAACAGCGAGACTATAGTAAAAGGAAGTAACTTTCTAATTCTCACATGTAGAACAGCTTGAGTAATAACTTATGGGTTTTGAAATGGGTCATCTTTAAAAATGGGTCACTTTGGCTGGAATCATTTCACTTGGTGACTTTCACATTGCAAAGGGTTGCGTTCTTCCAGAGGCCCAGTTGCATTTAGAATTTGCATTTCAGAACACAGAGTTTGAGAGAAAATGAGTGAACTTCAGATATCTCTTCTCAAAGTAACAAAACATATCCTATTTTATATATGTTCAATTGAATGGATTTAGGCAAATTGTTAAAAGGGCTCTGCCACTTGACATCAAATCTCTGCCCAAAAAGATGAAGCCAGAACAGCGTAAATCTAGAAGTACTTTCCTTATTGTGTTCAATATCTATTTATAGAGAGGACATAAGAATTTTTATATTTCAAGGTTTAAAAACTTGATCGGGTGAGATGTGAACTTTGAATAAATTCAAGTGACTTTTTACATTTTGATGCTGTGGATTCAGACTGGCTTTGGTCTGTGACTTACTCAGATTTATCTTTCATTGTGAAGGCTTTAATACTAGAAGCCAGGCAGGCGACTATAGAAGAGAATGCTCTGCAGGCAACCCCCAAAGGTCAAGTTCAACACTTCGTTATATAGCCTAAGGCCCATCTGAGAGTTCATAGTTTTCTCTTTTCCTCCATTGCTACAAGTCTTTCTACAGTTTCCTCACAGTATGCCAAGTAAACTTAGCTAAAACATCAACCCCATTAGGTTTCCTTCTCCATAATTTACACAGCGTTATGGCCTTGTATCTGTGTTACTGTCACTGAAAGTATTTTAAGTGCTTGTGGGAACCATAGTGTTCTTCCTGCCAAGGGTAATGGAAGACCATTTTCAGTCATTAGGGATGAGGCTTCCTTCTGTTCTCAGTCTCAACAATATTTGGGATGTGTTAAGTGGCCCTTAGCAATTCAATCAGTATTTTAATAAATTCTTACCTAATATTTTTGAGAAGAATCATGATGAGTAGAGCTCAGCATTTTGATAGCTACAAAATGTTAGCTACCTACTAACCCATGATGGTGAATATACACAAATGTGTTTCAGAGAGGAAATTTTCACACTTGCTCAATAAATCATTCCAGCTGACTCTCAGCAAACACTGGTACATAGCTTCGAGGTAGGTCAAGTGCATCCTCCAGTAAATGAGAGGGGCAGGCCATAGAACTACTTCTGCTTTTTTTTTTCCCCTCAATCTAAAACCCTCTGCTTTTCTCTTTCTCCATCAGGTCTGATTCCAGGATGCGGTGGAACGTTTGCTGATTCCCCGTAGGGGATCCACACCTGAAACGTCCCCGGAGTCTCCCCAGCATCCTGCCCTTGGCCTCCTACACAGTATGTGATAACTTAATATCTGTAGTTAATGAAGCATAGGTCTTCCTTTCAGGGCTGCCCACTGTTACCCCTGGAACAGCTCAGGTGCTTAATAATGGTAGTTAGCTTATTACGGTAAGTGTCAGTCAGCAAAGATAGAAACATATTATATACTATTTTACTTTTTGTCCTCTGTGCTCTTTCTAGATACAATGTCCACAGTAAGACAGATAAGGCACCATTAGACAACAGCCGGAGACCACGTTATTGTCATCATTTTTCTTGCCACTATTTGACCTCAGCTCCCCTTCTTTCTTTCTTCTGTACTGGGGATCAAACTCGGTAACCTTACACTTGCGAGGCAGGCAATGGCACCACTGGCCAAACCCCGGCCCTATCAGCTCCCCTCTCTTTTTCTTTGTTTCTTTTTTCTTTTCTTTTTTTGTTAGCAAACCAAGAGATTTATTTTATTTTATTTTTTAAAAGGGGAAAGATTTATTTGACTAACAGTTCGTAGAAGTTTCAGTCCATAATCAGGCGGCTTCCCGGCAGGGTGGCAGAGGGACAACAGTTCATGGTGGCAGAAAACAGCAAAAGCAACAAGAGACCTTAACAGAGTTTTTCTCTCCCTTTTATCCAGTCCGGCCTACCAGGGTTTGGGCAGTGCCAAAGCAATCACTCAGTGTAGTGGTTTAGTAATCACCGCCCTTAATCCCCGCATCACACATTCCAGATTCAGCCACCTATGAAAAAGAAAGTCCCACCTCATTCGCATGAGGCTTTGACAGGACATCTACACACAAGCCCTAACATTCCAGCCCTGGCCCTCCATATCCCTTTGTGCAAAAGACATTTAGTTCATCTCCAAGAGTTGCCAAAATCCTAATAGTTTCAGTATGGATGAACAATCCAAGTCTAAAGTCTTCTCTGAAACTTAAGGCAAACTCTTAGCTGCAAATCCCTGTACAAATGAAGACAAGGTTAACACTGAACCTTGAATGGTTAACACTGAGTGACACAAGATGAACATTTCCACTCCAAACGGGAATGGGTAAGGAATGGGACCAGAGCCAAGACCCAAATCCAGTAGAGTAAATATTAAACCCCACAGCCCCACGTCCATCATCCAAGGCCATGTGTGACAAGTTATAAACTCCAAAAGGCGTGGGTGGCTCAGCCCCTGTGGCTCTGCAGATGGTTGTAGCTCCTATGGCTTCTCCCTTGGGCCAGTTCTGCTCCTTGCTTGCAGCTTTCCTCAGATGATCCATGCTCCTGCCCTCTGAACTTCTGGGGACTCCACTGTCCCTTCAGCTGCCCACATGGCCCTCTCAGAGGCACCCTGCCCGGCCTCGCAGGCTTTCTTCTGAAATCTGGGTGGAAGTCTTCCTAACCCTATAACTCTTGCATACTGAATGCGCCTAAAACCAGCACCATGTGGATGATGCCAAGGTCTGCTGCCAGCCTGGAGTGGTAGCCAGGTTTCCTTCTCTCTTGGCTGTAGGGGTCTGGTGCCTATGAACCAAACCCCCAGAAAAAACTCCCCTAAGCCACTGTTCTGGAACAACTTCCCTAGGCTTCTGTCCTTCTGTAACATGGTGTCCCAGGCTTTCTTCTCAGTGGAAAGTCTTTTACTCTTGCAATTTTGAGGCTGCAAAGGGTGGAGTCCTGCTGCTTCTTATGATGCCCTCAGGCCATCTTTTCTATTCTGTTCCTTCTCAGTAATCAAGATCCACAGCTTTACTGGAGCTTCCTTTGTGGCCAGACTCAAAATGTTTTAAATCATTCTGCTGGGCTCTTTGCTCTTTTTTTTTGGTTGTTTGTTTGTTTGAGACAGGGTCTCACTATGTAGTTGAGACTGACCTGGAACTACGCAGCCCAGGCTGGTCTCAAACTCACAGTGATCCTTCTGCCTCAGCCTCCCGAGTGCTGTTTGCTCTTGATTCTCAACATAAATCTGGCTAAAAGACCCCAAGAGTCGCCCTCAACATTAGACTGCCTTGACATTTCTTCTTCAAGATTAATTAGTTCGCTGCCCTTACTCTCAGTCTCAGACAAAGTCCTCTGGACATGAGTAAAATGCACATAAATTTTCTGCCAAGGCATAACACACTGTCTGGAGTCCAGCAGCCAGTGCAGTCCTTCCCATCAGGAACCTCCTGAGCCTGGCCTTTACCAGCTCTCTGGTGTGCTGAGCTCTGACCAGAATCTCCATACAGAGCAGCCTAAGGTGTTCCAGCTCTGCTTCTTCAGCCAGCGTCTCTAAACCTTGGCTCTTCCCCCGCCCACAAGCCAGTTCCAAAAGCTCTTGTGCTACATGGCCAGGTAATGACATAGCAATGACCACATTCTCTGGTACCAAATTTTGTCTTAGTTACTTTTCTGTCATTGCTGGGACAAAATATCTGACATCCAAAGATAAAGGGGGAAAGGTCTCTTTGGCTTACAGTTCCTAGAGGTTTAGTCCATAATGAGGTGGCTCCAAGTCAGCAGGGCAGAGGGGCAGCAGTCCATGGCAGCGGAGGACAGCAGATTCCACCAAGGGATTTAAACCTCAGGTTTTTGGTTCCTCTGACCAGTAATCTTGGTGGAAGACCTCCAAAATGACATGGGGGGAGAGATGTAACTCCCAAACCGGCTAAAGATCCAAAATGCGACTGTGTGTTCCTTAAAATCAAAGAATGAATTTCTATGACCAAATGGAAGTTAAGAGTAGGAAAAACGTATTGAAAGAAAGAAAGCTTCTGTCTAAGAAAGACAGAAGGGTGACAGGAAAGCGGGTTACACCTCAGCTCCCCTTTCTAATCTCTTTGACCCCACGTCTCCCTTCACCCTAGCTTCTAGCAAACTAAGTTAACAATTCCCCACTCTACCCATAAGTTTTTCTACCGTGTGTTTTCAGAAATCCCAACACTGGTCTCTCTTAGAATATCTTTCCCTTCCCCCCCATCCCACTTCAGATTCAGTTCAAATGTTCCCTGTTACTGTCTTTCCTTCTTGGCTGTTGCTTATTTCCCCCCCAGACCTAGGGTGGAATCCTAGCCCTTTCTCTAGGGCCTGGTCACTTGCCACCTCTCCTACAGAAGAAAGTCATCCTTCATGGTGCACTCTGTTTAGGAAAAGAGTTTCTAATGTCAGATTCACTGATGAATTTCCTGTGGTCTTCCCTTCCCTAAACCAAATGCGACGAAACAAATGTCCCTTGGTCAGTTTTTCTGGGGCAAAGCCATCTCTAAGAAATCTCAAGGCTGAAAACTTAGCTCGAGTGAATATTGACTTCTAGTAACTCAGACAAAGCCATCGCAGTGCTTGAAGAGTGCTATGGGGGTGAGGTCTGGAGGGGACAGTTTTCAGAGCATCTGCTATCACTTTGCAGGGGCAGGCAATCATTTATTACTGATGGATGAACCTGTATTTTTTTTTTTCTTTTGGTACCAGGGATAGAATTTAGGACCTTGCACTTTGCAAGGCAGGCATCCCAAGCCACTTGAACCTCTAGTTTTGGTTCACATCTGGCTGTAACCTTTATGATGGGTAACTGTTTTACATCCATTAATCATGTTCACTCTTTGCCTGTTGTTTTATGAGCCAACTTTTGTTTTTGTTTTTTGGTACCAGGGGTTGAACTTGGGACCTTGTGCTTGCAAAGTCGTGTGAGCCAACTTTGAACATATCTTTAAATTTCTTCTGCTCTCACTCATGAAATATTTTTTTTTTTGAGACAGGGTCTCACTGTGCAGTTGAGACTGACCTGGAACTCACTATGTAGCCCAGGTTGGTCTTGAACTCACAGCGATCCTCCTGCCTCAGCCTCCCAGCCTCCCAAGTGCTGGGATTATAGGCGTGTGCCACCATGCCCAGCTCATAAAATAATTTTGATAAACTTTTTATTAAAAGAATGATGGCTTTCCCAGGGTTAGGTGTGACTTTACACTTAGGACTCTTCACATTTCACTACCTGCTTCCGGAATACTGGCTTAAGATGTCCTCTTTGAGTTTTCTCTCATGTTTTCTTGTCCTCTCCTTTATTCCATCCTATCTCTTTTTCCTCCTTTCTGCCATTTTGGACTCCTGGTGTTTGGAGAAAAATATTTTTGTATCCAGAGGACACAGACTTTGGAGATCAGTTTTCCCCACTCTGGAGCTACTGGGACAAAACAAAGATAAGGAGGAAGTCCCTGTAGTCCATGGAAGGCTAAGGAAAGGTTTGTTAGAAAAGAGAGGGAGAACATGGGCTACTGAAGTGAGGTCGTAGAAAGCACAAATGGCCCCAACCTTTAGGTAGGGGAGCAGATTCTTTGCCTGAGAAGAGCTGTGCTGGAGGGAGGGCACGAGCAGCCTGGGAGGGACTCAGAGCGGAGCAGCTGCTGAGTTGCTTGGAATTTACGAGGTCACTTGTTAACCCAGTTCTTTTTGTCATTTATGTGTATTTTGCTTTTTGGAGATAGGGTCTCACTGTGTAGTTTAGGCTGCCTTTGAGCTCACTAGATAGCCCTGGCTGGCCTTGAACTTGCAGTGATCCTCCTGCCTCAGCCTCCTGAGTACTGGGATTACAGGGTGCACCACCACGCCTGGCTGGCGTTAATGCAGTATCTTGGTGCCTCAATTTCTTCTGCAAAATGGGGAGATCCTGTTCCCTCACTGCACTCATAACACCTTTTGCTGTGTAGTAATAGTAAACATAGCCATGTTGGTAACTGTTGCTAGAGTGGTTAAGAAGTTTCTTAAGTAGGAATGAAGCAAAACAAAAAAAAAAAAAACAAAACTGACAAGACTTGTATTTCAGAAAATAAGCAGCTTTATCCACTCAAACAACTGTGCTGCAAGAATGAATTCAGAAGGGCCAGGATGTAGCTCAGTGGCACTGCACCTGCTAGGCAAGTGCAAAGTCCTGAGTACAATTCCTGGTACAAAAAAATCAGAGGCCCAGGCTTAGGAATGAAAATGTTTGACTTATTTTATATTTTCATCTATTTTTGTTGTTGTAAATGTCATGTAATCAAACTAGTTACTGGAGAAATTTAGTAAGATAAGGAAACAGGACTAAAATACTGCTATCCTAGAACCTCATACCACCAATTTCCTTATTAAAGATGTAAGAAGGCTGGAGATTTAGCTCAGCGGCACAGCACCTGCCTGGCAAGTGCAAGGTTTTGAGTTTGATCCCCAGTACCAAAAAAAAACCAAAAACAAACTTAGGGTTTGCCATCATTTATTTTTCCATGTGGCATTTACTTATCTTTAGTTCCCCTATAACTAGCAGACAGCAATTGACACCCAAATTTAACTCCTAAAGAACCATGTAACTTAGTTTATGGCCGTGCGGATCTTAGAACTGGATTTTCATGATGGGTTTTATAACCCAACCTTCCCCCTGTCCTTTGTATCCATGTTTATGAAATTGGAATTTAAAGTCTTTGGACTAACCCCAAACCAAGAACTAACTTTATAAATGTATTCTTTGTAGAAGAATGGTAATTCTAAATGACTTCTACATTTTGCCCATGGCTTGAGCTACTGTTTTAAAGTTATATCCATAAAAACACCGAATACAGATAGTGGGTGAAATGTTCCTCTTTTAGAGGACTTACTTACACTGGAAACACAAACTTGGATGAAAAACTAGTATAACTATTGAAAAGGATGTCAAATTTTTCATAATTAAAATGTGCGTGGTAAAACCAAAATTCAGGTTGGTTTCTCCCTTGCTGAGAGTATAGCGTCGGTAATCAGTGCCACCTGGTAACTGGTTGTGTGGTCACGGGGAATTCTCTTTCTTGCCTTTGGGTCATGCCTGAATAAGAACCGAAAATTGTCTGTCACATGAAACTTTAAGCAATGAAAGTTTGCATGCAAATGGCATACAGTTTTAAGGCTTTACAAAAAATCATTGACTTACTGGTAGAGGAACCTTACTAGTGTATAGTCGTACTTTATGTTGCTTTGAAAAGGTTTATTAATACTTTTATGACTCAAAGGGATATTCTGAATATTAAATCAATTTTTAAAATGAAGACAGTCATCACATCAGTCTTGTTTTCTATGAGACCATTGGGGGTAGGTTTTACTACAATATTTTATTTCTCCGGGAAAGAAAAAAAATGAACTAGGATAGAATGGTTAAATTAGTTTTGTTGCTTTCTTCTAATACATTAGTTTTTTTGTTCAAATAATGTTGCCAACTTAAGGAGAATTTCAGGGTTTATTTTTGTTTTGGCAACAAGTGAAATAAGAGAGAACTATCAAAGAAGAGCTTTCTTTTCAGTTCAGCTGGTGTTTTCCCAATTTGCAGGTCACAATCTATTGGTTCATACAACAATTTTAGGAAGTGTAGCATTAAGAAAGGAAGGAAGCCAGGGATTTAGCTCAGTGGCACTGCACCTGCCTCTCAAGCTCCAGGTCCCGAGTTCGAGCCTCAGTACCACCAAAAAAAAA